ATCAAATGTAAGACTAAACATACCAGAGTAATTAAAATAAATCCATCGTTTTGTCATCTATTAGTGTAATGAACTATAGTAAATGCAGTCTAGTATTGGTTTACGTATATGAGAAAACTTAAAAAAATTATAAACAAAAAAAATCATTACGAAATCACAATGGATGCTTCGATATTTTTTGACGATTGGAATAACGTGAGTACATATTTTTTTTAAGTAACAACTTTAATATGTTACTAAGGTATAATGACATGTTACAACGTCTAGACACTAATGATCTTATTATTTTGAAAGTTTGATTTGTATGTTAGATTTTAGGAATAAATATTTTTATAGGAACACTGTAAGTAGCATTGAGTACAACCAAACGTCAACAAATTTTACTTTAATCACACTTTTTCCAGATAACGATTTAATTTTTCATCAAAATTAGCCATTTATTTTCAATATTTAATGCGCCTCGGTATCGACGTTATACTTTTAAGGATGAGGGCCATCTAAATTGCAATGCTCAACACATTATTATATACTGGCTTTATTATACGTTATAGAAATGCCTCAATTTTTTATTTTATACATTGTCTAAACTATTATTTATGGTGTTTATAACATCTTTAGATTTCAGAGAAATATCAACTTTTTACGAATCATAATATTATTAATATTATAAATTATTCTTTATAATAAATATTCTTGAATGCTTTATTGTCGAGTAAAATCGCAATATCATATCGGAAAAATTCTCCATATAATCCTTACTGTTTTCATTGCGATAATTGAAGGCTTTATGTCTCTAGTTTACTTAGAATATCACTATAATTTTAGATGTTCGGATTCAAAAATGGAAATAAATACCTCTCAACACTTGCCGTAATTTTTATAGGTAAAATAAATAAATTCGGTCCTGACTATAAACTTATTATTGATGCATAATTTGATGGTTAGTGACCCTATTTAGTAGATAAAATGACACTACAAAATAATATGCAATGACGCGGGTGCTCTTCTTCGTCTTTGATGGTATCACTTTGGTTCCGGATTAAAGCATACTGTTGAAAAGACGATGGGTGCTGATAGGAGATGTAGTAAAGTAGAAATCAGAGCGTGCAAGTTATGGGGCGATGAATAAAACAAGTAGCTAGGCAGAAACCTTCATCGCCGTGATGCGTCGCATTTTTTAGAATCGCCCTGTGTGTGTGATCAATGGCCCGTAGTGAGCCGGAACTCAAAGAAAAAAACATTGATTTTTTTGTAGTGGGAACTTAATTTTATCAATATTACATGGATATTGTAGTTGTTTACGTCTGTCGACTTTTAACAAGTATTGCAACTACATACAGCAAGTAATTTTTTGAAATCGCACACTTAAAATTCTTTGGCTATTCAAGCTTGATTTTGATCACTTATTTTTAATTGACTTTACTTTACTCGTATTGTTAATCTATTCAAACAACCTTCTTTTTAAATCATAGATTTTACAAGGATATTTCTTAATAACTTGTTGGTTACAACTAAGTGATTTTAAAACTTGACTTGAACTATGATTTTTTTAGACCAATTTTTCTTTTAATTCGCCATTAAGTAGTGTTAAATAGTAGGTAACTTTAACTTAATTGAGCTCTTTATAAATATATACAAATTAATAATATAAAGATATTATTTCAAATAATATAAGTGTAATTGAAATAATGCTAGTGCAAAAAATTCAATTACTTTTCATTAAAATTTGTAATATACCTATTTAAAATTTATCAAGTAACTAAGTTATAAAATTAGAAATGTATAATATAAAATATGTAAGTAAAAATGTATTATCAAAAGTCAGAAACATTCAGTACTTATATAAAAGACTCCATAATAATTTTTAACTCACTAAAATTATATTCGAATGTTAAAAAAAATGAATCGTAATGAATTTATTTATTATTGATTAACACCTCTCCAAAAACTTAAAATAATTAACATCAATTTTATTAATAGTCATAATCGAATTATTCAATTATGAGAATAATTAAGTTATTTCGATCATTACACTTATAATCAGTTCATTTGAACCATCGATTTTTTAAACAATTTTTTGTTTTAGACAACATGAATAAAAAATTGATTTATTAAATGTACCATTTGGCCAATGATACAATTTATACAAATTACCTGAATCTTTCCTATTTCCAAATATATCTAACTTAACTGTTTTTAGAAGTCATTATTATGTTACTACTCTGTTATTTGATTTGACCAAAAGTAGTATAATTACAAATTATTTATAAGATTTATGCATATAAATCATAATACTTTTAAGACTATTCACTTTGTCTCAATTAGCAGTGGCGAGACGAATGTTAGAACAATAATGTTCAGAACGCAAAACTGTAAATAGAGACATTCTATTTTAAATTTATAGTAGTGCTTATAAAATATATCAAACAAAAGGACATACGTGTGTCCTGATATTAAAACGAGGCCGCCTAACGAGAACTAACAGAAACTTTTTGAACAAGGCCATAAGGTAATATTTAATATTATTATTTAATAACACAGATTATCGTCTATATGAATTTTTTTGAGAATAATATGCCTGTTACGTTTTATTAAAATAATATATGCTATGTGTCTATTTACATTTTATTGTACTCGTGATATCATAATCAATTTCTTTTGTTTCCTAATCGAAGGACGAAACCACTACATAAAGATATAAGATACTGTTTTTATGACATTAGGCGCTATTGACGATTTTTAATTTTTTTTATTCATTCATTGATACAAGAAAATCGAATGAAAAGCGTTAAATTTATTGCAGTTCAAAAATAATCGAATATTCTTACGCCTTATCTTATGTAAAAAATATGAATGGAAAATAGTTAAGCTTATTTACAATATTATAAAGACTACATGAAATATATTTTCGTATTTATGTGGGGCCATGGGAGCCATTGCCCGCTCATAGACTAGTGCTATCAGTATTTTAAAAGCAAAATTTACGAAATATGGCTCTAAAGACTACTTTTTAGGTTGTCACTTTACATTTTAGCAAAAAATTTTCTCTAAAATGCTTACCAAAGTAAAAAAAAAAATTGTTCGTAAAAAAATCATTCACTTAAAGTGAGTTTTAAATACACCCCTGATATAATATTATATATATTTATAAATTTCAGCAAATAGTTTTATTTTGAAATGTGTCACAGTGATCAGTATTAGTAAATTAGGAATTTTTCATTTTTATCTACGTAGGATATAATTGCAATTGCAGTCTAACATTGTTTATGAGGTTGGGAAAATGTTTGGGTACTCGACAAAAGTATTATGAGCAATTTTTTATAAAGTATGATTTTTATTCTCGCAATATCTAAAAAATATAAAATAAAATACAATTTTTTCTAAAAAATGTTTTACAATCTCCAATGTGCCATAAATTTTAAATAAATATTATTTTTTCTGTCTTCTCTTAAAATTAAAAAAAAATTTTTCTATATAAAATTACAATTTAGTAGGTAAGGAGACAGATCAATTGTTACAAACAAAGAAAACAATAGAAACGCGTTTCTTTACTTACTAAACACCCTTTATATTGAACTATAGTATATGATTAGAAATTATAGGTCAATAACATAACTTATGACTTTTAACAGTAGTTCTGAGGTTACTAGAATTCTAAAATGTAATCTAGGGGTGATACGTGGAATATAATTATAGAAAAGATAAAACTAATAAAAAATTATTAATATTAATTTTTTTGAAGACATTGATTGAGATATAATAGTTGAACAAACCATTAGTGTAGTTTAATTTTTGCTGTTATTTTATTTATGCATTAAAATACAGATGTTACAGTTTATTTCATAACTTCTTCTATTTTGATACAGTAATAGTCATTATTATAAGAATTATTTATATAAAGTAGGTATCAATCAAGTATGATGACCGATGAATATTTGGTCAAATCGATGGCGTCCACATACTGAACTTCAATGAAGTATAATCATTCATTTCTTATTTCTCTTGCAAATTATGCTATAAAAAATTCAATTCAAAGAAATATTGCCAAGTCAGTAGACCAGTAGACGGCATCATAGAAGTTTAAGAAAAAAATTGATAAATAAACAGAAATGGTTTTATAATTGCGGTTACCATGTATGAAAAGTTGCTTGCATATAGTTTTAAAATATAAAATATTTTTCAAAATTTCATATCCTAGATATACCTTAGTAACTTTATATTTAAAGTCAAACTCTCCATAAAATTATTTATAATAGATTTTAAAACTACCGAATACTTCGCCGGTAAGATACAAGACTTTTGTGCGAATTGATTATTCGTTGGAATTGTACTGTACATATTCATTTTTCAAGAAGAAATCAGTTTTTATGAGCGCGTGTATGCGCTTATCATTTATGTACGATAGTGAAAAATATTATGTGAAGTCATGAAGGTTGATGACTAAGTGGACTAATGTGAGGAAGAAGACTGACTTCATTGTGATAGCTGTTACCATCGCTGTACTGGTAGCTCGCGGTAATCATAGTAATTTGACAGCGGCAGCAATGGCTTGAGGCAATAAAGACAGCAGTTAGGAAGAGTAATTCGGTGAATATGAACATTCCATTCATAAAACGATGTGTCGCATTCATTCATTCATATAAGTTTTTCTTATATTTCATACATTACCATTGATACAACTTGGAAAATTCATATTAACTAAAGTGAACCAAATGTGTATTTAAAATTATTCAAGTCAAGTTTAATTTGAAAACGCCTTAATTTAAGTACGCCTAATAAGTCAAATAGGTTTTATTTAGTAACATCATTTACAAACGCTTATCGAAACAAAAATATAATTTGATTTTTAATTATTGTTTATAAAAAGATCCCTTTATTACAAATGGTTGTCTTAACTTTTTTAATTATACAAATACAATTATATCAATAGAAACCATTTCAAATTAAGTAATTGACACTATTTATTTTTTATCACAATGTATTAAAATTAAAAAATATGAAATAAAAGCAGACCGTTCTTAAAATGTAAGAATTCGTTAATGTCTTTCGTAAGTCGTGTTTTATAAATTGATCACAATATCTCTGGTGTTTTGGTGAAGTGTTAACCAAAAAGTACACAAATAAAAACTTTGTTAAGTTTAATCGGTACTTGTGAATTATAAAACGAGGACGAGAAAAGAGTGTGTGGTTATTTCAGTGTGCAATGAGCAAACTCCCCAAGGAGAGGTCTCGTTTTAGAATCGGCGTGCCAGTGATGATGATGATGAGTCTACTACACATTTGACCTCTTTCTATTCCGCATCGAACATTTTCTCCTTGTCTTTTGTTCCTCTGTCTACTTCTTGGTCCCTCTTTTACCGAATGATTAATCGTCTTGCCACACCATTGTTTCAGGGCTAATCACTCAGACTTTTAACTTTAGCAGTATATACGATTAGCTGCTTTTTGCGTGGTCTATCCTATTTGGCCCGATGAAGATGTATGAACGTGTCAAACCATTGTCCATCTATTCAGGACAAACTTTTTTCATGATTATTAGGATTATAATGTCTACTAAACCAATTGGCTAAAAAGTTAAAAACTGAATGAATTAATGACGAATTTAATCAAGATTTCTATGGATAAATGTGTTAACTGACATTTTTAAAACTGTTAAGGTATACTATTATTTAACTATATATATTAAAAAAGTCTATGGGATATTTTTGATATTCAATATATAAAATAACTTATATGAACATTTAATAAAATACTATAACTTGAATATAATACTAATACCAAGTTACTAAAAAGTGTCAGCTAACACCTTTATCTAGTTATAAGTCACATACATTTTATTTATGTTTAAAAAAATCAATAAACATTATAATTTGGTATAGTAAAAAAATCGAAAGTTCGCTAAAATCTGAGGATAGAAAACTTACTGTTAATTACTGTTGTATTTATTAGCGTAGTATGCTAATAATTCTCTAAAAATTCATTTTTAAGAAATGTTCAAGTTCTTCTTTGTATTTTGTATAACACTGAAAATTAACAATTAATTTTAAATACTAATGTTTCATTTCTATCTTTTAGATTTTTATTTTAAATCATATACTTGGGTTAGTAAATTCAATGAATAGTTTTTTACATTTATATAATTATACACGAATATCAGACGATATTAACCATATTGAAAAATCATTTATTGTTTACAAAAAAAACAATATTCATCCCGATATCCCCGACCCAAATAAAGAATAATGCGATGAACCGGCCCCACAGTTGTCAACCTCACACTACATGTATAAATTAAAAGTATATATTTATACAAATGTAAATTTAAACTTGTGAATCTGTCGTTAACAAAAGAGGATCTTCAGCATTCATAATTTGTTAGTTTAAATTAATCCTACTTATTTTTTTTTATTTTTAATTATATTATAATATAAAAGTATAATAATATTACTAATTTATGAGATCAATATTTGTAAAAGTTCTAAACTAAATGTTATAAAAGTCAATTTTTAAAATGATATAATTCGATATAGTCGAAAATTTATTTTTAAGTATAACAAATAGTATCGGGAAAAATTCATATCGGCTAATACCTAATAATTATTCTGAACAAATAACACATGCACATCTTGACATCTAGCGAATAAAGTAATAACTATTCATGCTGGCGTAATTTAATAGATCGCGCTTCAGACATAATTGTTCACTTAAAATATTCTCAAAATGAACTATCGTAATAAAACGACTTTGATTAAATAATATATTTTAAATATTAATTAACAATTAGTTTATATTATGTACATTTCTTATTTATGACTATCAGGAGACTATTTTCATATTTTTGCCAAAAAATTTAACACTACTGTATTAACTCAAAAAAAAAAAATTATTGAATCAAAATGTATTTGAATTAGAAATTGTTTAATACAATTTTGGTAGAGCTAGTACTATGAATAATATGCAGACACTAATGATTTTCATAAAAAATTAAATATTAAATTGTAAGCTTAGAAATTGTAATTAGGTTTTGATTCCTCAAATATCAATAAGATAATTTGAAATTTCAGTTTTAAATAATAACTCTAAATTGAAAACCTTTTAAAATAAAGTTATGAATATTTCTATATCTGGATAGGACAAGGAATGCTACAGAGTGAGGCTTAATAACATAAAAATTAAAATAACATAACCTAACTCTACTCAATATTTTATAATGATAATAATTTCTTAAAACACTGGTTTAAAAATGATTGTCAATTCAATATTTTCATAGTTGGATCATACTATAACACTTAAAATAGTAAAATATGTATATTACCATTAAATTATAAAGATAGAACAAATTGTGTAATGCATCCATTAGATAATTGCATTGCCATTTATCTTAAAAAAACATAATCATTTCCAGTAAAAAATTTTATTTTAAAATTCATTATACGAAATTATCAAGAAATAGAAGCAAAATTCTATAGTTATATTTTACACTTTATTAATAAATTATACTATTAAGACGTATAGTATTAAAGTTTTCGTTCTATTAAACCCAATCAAATCGATATTGAAAATTACTGACAAATTATCAGACGTTAAAAATTTGACACTATGTAGTAATGGTTTTTTGGCGAGTTGGGTGAGTTAACGACACAGAGGAGGAATACAATAGAGAGAGGTCGCCTTTTAACCACCAACAGCAGCATTAAACGAATTGTGTGAGAGGTGCAGGGCGTTTCGAATTAACTGGTACCTTCCACTGTCCTAAAGTTCTCTGTCGCCCATAGTAGGATTTGACGAAAAAAAAACGCGCAGGAATTTTTTTATCGATTCCACAGGGAAGCTTATTTTTCACTTTTTTTTACCACCCTTCATTCTGCCCTCCCTTTATCCTCACGTCCCGGCTCTTTTCGTTCTTTACCTCACCCGATAGTTTATCCCTCAGTCGTGCGTCCAGACATCACGTTTTATCCTCACGCATAGACTGACTATTGTAGAGAAGCGGAAACGGGATAAAAAAAACTGCGATCTGAGCGCGCTCGAACGGTGATGCGGCTAATCACCTATCAAAACAAGACCGGCTTTTTTACTCGGGAGAGCTTTTTTACTTTTTTTTTCACTCTTTTAATGCCCTCGGCTCGTAAGCTTTTTTCAGTATTTTGACGGACACATTTTTCGTCCGTCTGCCGCCGTTCGATGCTTCGGTAGTAGTTAGTGTTGTTTACAACTGTTAAATTTTTTGTCGAGTTCACGATTTCACTATGCAAATACGCTACACTCCACTTATGACACATAATATTCATAGTGTGGATCAATGTGTTTCAATAGGCAGATATAGGAATATCACTAGAATCATTCTTGTGTAAATTATTTTTGGCAGTCTATATTTTCTGAATGAACAAAATTGTCCATTGGAAATGATTACCTAGAGTTTAACTCAGATGAAAATGTTAAGAATTTTATCACTTTTCGGTGATTTATATTTTAATATAATTTTGAACCATATAACTGTTAAAAATTACCAATAAAACTAATGTTTAAGAAGGTAAGAGATATTTCATAGTAAATCATTAAATATTAATTTAAAATATGCTTATATAGTGTGTAATAATTGAATTTATGGATACAAATACTTTTCTAAACACTTTTGACTGTTGCTCGAAAAAATATGTACTTCAAATAACGCGCGTGTATTAGTACAAAAATTGAAAATGGTCTAAATAATATTTTGACTGGTCGATAACCAGTTTTGTGTATTATTACAAAGTTATTATAATTTATTGCCATAGACTAGTGAGACGACCAAAGTGAAAAATTCTTATTTAGGCATAAAAATAGATTTTAACTTAATTCTAACCCTCTCCTCACATTTCTATATCATTAAGTGTTAATATCTCAAAAAGCAATATTACAAAACTCGTTATTTGCCATTCAAAATTTTAACAAAAAAAAGGCGGAGGAGGTCGTATAGCTAATAAATCATAAATCATACTATATATGTTTATTGCACTGTAAAAGTAGTATCTTGAAAAAAAGGTTTTGAGATTATCTTTATTTTAATTAATAGTTTATATTTTTATCAGGGTATTGGGATTTGTGTTTACTATTATGTTTTTATGGAAAAAAGTTTATTTTTTTAATTATTTAATTAACCCATCTCAATAATTGATGCAAGAAAAAACAAACGTTAAGAAATTAAATAAAAATCATCATAATCAAAAGTCAAATACAAATTTTAACACTAATCTTCGAAGTAATGTTTGTACAAATGGAAATTTTTTTGTAATTTTTGAAGTTCTCCGCAAATCATGGGAGGTTAACGATTAATTTTAGGGATGATAGTAATATTTATTACTCTTCTTCTGAATTTCCTAGTTCAATTTTGCCCTAAATTTTTTACAATACATAGCGATAAAAATGCTTTCCATTAACACACATGAAGTCATGAGATCAATGGTGTGCCATAATGAGGTTGCGTCAGGTCGACAGCCAGTATAAAAACCTGTCAAACATTAAGTTCGAGATGACCCCAAATAGTTGGAATAGAGGCTAAAGAAATTGTGATGAATACTTGAAATCAATCACGTGATATATGCTAATACATTGTTTTTTGATATTTGAAGAAAATTCTAATTAAAATTACATAACTAGCTTTGGGCCACACCCAGAAAACGAAATTACATTGATAATTAATAATTAAATATTAATTCTATATTATAAAAATATTAATAGTTCTAAAACTTATAGATTCATTAAGACAATTTTAATAATAGCTCTAATTACGCAAATACAAATTCAAAATCATTCATTATATGATTATATTTATATAATTATACATATGTAGATATACATATATCTACATTAGTAAACAGTACTGATCACTAATGACCATTGTTGTTAAAGAGCAAAATGAAAAAAAACTGTATAACCCTTTAATAGATTTAATTTAATTAAACTCGTGAAAAAATATTTACATTTATTCCTTTACTTTTCCTTTTATTTTTCTAATAATATTTTTGTTTATTTTTCATTTATTTAAAAACAATGTTACATTTTCCCTTTTTATTTCCCTTTTCCCTTTCTAATGATATTTTCTCGTTTCATATGTCATTGGCATTGGCATTGGTATTTATTTTTTTGGGACTAACTCAATTACAAATTGTTTGGTACATAGCAAGACCATAATTCATAAAACTTCATGATAAAAATACAGGATACTTATAATATCTTTTAGTGCTATCAGTGGCGGCGGTCGACTAATTTTAATCTTTCTGGTAAAAAACTCCGTGGAAGCTATGCTTCCATACCCAGAACTATTTCTATTTATATTAATTTAAAGCTATAATATATAATAAATAATAGGTTATGTCATATTAATGGCTTTGTTCTAATTAAGGATATTTCATACCTTTAATTTATTTTAAAATAGTACTCCGTTGAATTTATACATAGATTTAAGTATAGACATATCTAAATGTGATTATATTGTAAGTAAAAGTCTTGGTCTTTATAATCAACGAAACTAGAAATTAATTTTCAAAATTTATAAGATTAATTTTTTCATAATATTTAAGTTCAATGATAAGTTTTGAGTTTAGTTATAGTAGTTTATAAACTACTATACACATATAAAGTTTCCAACATTTTTTAAGTATTATGAAAATTATACAAAATAGTAGCAAAAGAATTGCAATGGATGAGAATCTATTATTCTAATACCCTCCTATCTGATTGCCACCGAGTGTTATAGTAAAAGTAACATTATTCTACAATAGAAGTGATAATTTCAATAATTTTTTTAATTCATGTATCTAATAATTAAATCGTTTAAAATATGAAATATAATTTGGCCATAAGTATATATTCAAATATAATCTTACTAACAATCTAAATGAATACTAGAATTTGAATGAGCTAATTTTTAATTGAATAAGTAGTATATATATTTATGTTGCTAGTTTCTTACATTTTTTTAATGTTTCTAAAATTTATACTTTACATTATTTTGTACTTTTAAATAACGAAATTTGCATATCTTTGAATATACATTATACATTTTAATGAGTAACTGTCATTTTTAGCGCGCTGGTGTACGAATTATTTGAAATTTCAAGTTCTAACTACAGGAAATATCTATCGTAATTTGATTTTGATAATTCTATATTATAATAATTTAGTTCATTAAATGTGAAAATTATTAATTAAATTATTTTGAAAATAAAAATTTGCTTTATCAAAGCATGAAATAGACACAATAGTCTATACGCTAAAAAATTTTCGTTACACTTATTATTTACCAAAATAAGTTTAATGAGATGCATTGTTATTATGTTTGTATTCACTTATATATCTAATTATATAAACTTCTCGAAATGGTAACGAAGGATGATACAAAGTTTACTAAATAGAATATCTGTTAATTTTATGTATTTGTTATTCTTTGAATTATTACACATAAGGAAATTTAGTTAACATAAAATATTTCCAAAAAAACTATTATATATTACATACTATACAAAATATTATCTTTAATCATTGGAATATATTCTTATAAAAGTAAATTTAACTAAAATAAAGAAAAATTTTATTTTTTCATATCTTTAGTACAGGTTTGGCTCTAGAACTTCGAGTCTTAAAGTACAGCGAAATAAAAATAAAATACAGTTTTTATTCATCGAAATTTACAACTTTTATTATCAAGAAATAATAAAAATTAATTTTTTTGATACGTAGTAAAAATCATTTACACTTAACACAGAAAGTTTTATTATTTTTGGATAATTTTATAGTAATTTTTTACACGAAATGTATAAATTTATTAAGTATTCACATAGTCGATATCTTCACACTAGTGTTTCCCGTTTGACATATTTACTTATCATAAAATCGTACAATACAAGTTGAAAAGTCATTAGGAAAATGATAACATTAGATCCCTTGCGAAATTTTGTTGAATTAACATTGCAGATGGCCTTTAAAAAATATTATTGCATCCGTTTACTTTTTTCTTGTTTTGTGAGAGTGTGATTACTGAACCAAAACCTTTAATTCTTAATTTCTTTGTAGTATCTCGAGTATGTATAAACAAATGAGTTGTGCTCGTAAAAAAGGTTGGGTGGAAGTTCCTTATTATTTTCATTTTACTTAAGAAGGTTACATTTTGTTGTTTTTGCATTTCGTGCAGTGTAAGGTGGTAGGGCCTGTAATATACCATCTGACTTTTGTTATCTTTCTTGTGCTGGAAATACTCTGCTGCTGGCGCAATACGGTTAAAACGAAAACAATTTCGATCAGTACCACAGCAAACGAGTGTTTTGTTTTCCTCAGTTTCCAATCGACGGCACGGGTACAATATGCGACGTGATGGAATAAAATGAAACAACAATATTTTTTCGAAAATAAAATAATGGTAATAATAATAAAATTGTTGAAAAAATAAAAATAATATGAAAGTTTTGTGTCGATACCTATTTTTCTGGAATATATGTATGCAGCGTATGTCGTATTGGGCCAAATAATATCCGAGTAATACTAGTAGAATAAAACATCAATGACTATTATACTTGATTTTTTTTTTATGAAATATTGATAAATTATTATGTACACTATTTCACATACTTAATTACAGACAAAACGTTGTTTGTTTAAGTTTTGAAAACAAGTTACTGCAGAAAATATTGTACGAATAAATCTGCAGTAAGAAATTTTTTTAAAAAAATTTCAAATCACGCAGTGAACCTGAAAATCTAATACGGAATGTTTTATTTAATCAAAAATATTCGTTTTTAATTAATAAAATATAGTTTACAAAATAATAATCAACATTGAAATCTACAAAAAAATTATGTAAAAATTAAACTAATTATGTAAGAATATTATTAATTAAAGACTTCTTTAGGAAAAATAATATTCTCAAATGGTTTTTTTGAAAATTAGTTAGATATTTTACAGAGAAACTATTTTACAGCAACAAAATTGTTTATTATGGTAAAATTAATTTAATTTAAAATTAAATATTCATTTGGTCAAACTTTAAGAGAGTAATGAAATTTTTGGAGTTCTAAATAAAGTGCATAGTTTTTCTTTTAGTTTATTCTGATATTGTTTCTTTTTTATGCAGTGTAAAAGGCACAACCCTTTTATATACACAAAAATGAATAGAATCAACGACGTTGTGTTTACGTTTTCACTTTGCCCCGATTTCCTGCTAAACATTCCCCTTATTCGTATTCTCACATGTCTTGTTCTTTTAATATGAATATTCTACGATAGAAACGTGTACAGAGCGACACCCGTTGCGTGCTATTTGGGCGGAATAAATTGGCACCTTGGTGATTGTAGATTCCAAATTAACATCAGAACGCCTCCAATGTTTGTTTGTGTTATTGAAAACCCACATCATAGTGTCGTCGTCGACGGCAAATCACGATGCAAATAAGCCGTTTATATTTATGATTAGGCGTGTATTTTCCGTTTGTAATTCAAAATAATTTTGTTATTATGATAATAGCGCGCGGAAGGGTTAGTGAATGAAAACAACACTGTTGGGGTTAAAAAAACACTCGTTCAGAGAGGTTTAATGCGTTTAGGAAAATTAAATAAAAATTGAAAGGGGATTGCCGCCTCCGTTATAAGAAAGAAGTGCTCTGGGTATAAAAATGATCTTAAGAGTTTTTCTTATGTCTACATACGCCTGTAGTGTAAAAAAATAACAATGCTAACGTGTCGGCAGTCCATAAGGGTGGATATTATATGAGTCAAGCAATATTAAAAATGTAAAGCTTTCTTCGTTATTCTTAAAGTCACAATTGAAAAAAAAACATTTTGTATTGAATGTCATAATGCTGTTTTTTTTTATAGTGATCTGTTATTTTTTTCAAGTACTATTTTAGATGTGTATCATTGCACCTCAGTATCTAAACTTTCAATTAGTATTTTATTTATTTTTATAATAATGTAACAATAGGCGGATGAGATATCATTGAGTCGGTATTGCTGTAGTGCCTAATGCGCACTGTCACTGGTTCGAGACTCAATCAAAGATTCTTATTGAGCTATAGATCAGTCCAGTATTTGTATCCCCACTTTTCCATATTTTATAATTCCCTAATTTTTCATATTTCTACTATAAAGTATTCATGGTCAAGAAAACTTTTCATTTGAGGAGGCAACAAAGATCTGTATAGAAACTGTTTGAATAAAAGAAATAATTTTACTTTATAGAGAATAAACACATTTACAATTTAATTATAAGTGACACGAGACACGTGTCTGATGTATCTGACACATATATTAAATTTATATAAACCTTATAACCTAATTATCATTAATTTTATTTTAACCAATTATAATAAAAGTTTACTCTTTCCTTGATTAGGGTCAGTTAAATGTTAAATAAATAAATATTTTAGGAAAACTATAATGCTCATCAAAATTTAACTGTTTACAACAATCTGGAAAATTCTAGTTTTTATGAAATTATGGATCATAATATTGGTGAGTATTTATTTAAGGGTTTCGTTTCATAATTATTTTATAGAATAAAAAATTTTTAGGCCTACAATTAATTTTTATCTGACAAGTTTACATGATTATTATATTATATTTTATGATGTTGTTGTTCATTGAAATTTAATTAGATGTTTTTTAACAAAACATATTATAGGTATACGTAATAATGTATATATAATGTCTATCAGAAATTATTAAGTTTTCTACTAACTATAAAACTTACCTAATTGGCCTTGCTATATAATAATTTCCAAGAGGTTAGAATCACTTGGATACTCTTTTGTTCGCAATAGATAGCAAACCGGACCTACGGCATAAGGACGTTATTATTAAAATACGATCTCTCAAAACTAAAAATCTTTTTAGTTATATAATTAAATGCTATTGATTTAGTTTATTTTATATAAACTAGAATAAATCAATAGCATTTCTAAATTCCTATGCAAAACTATTCATCGGTAAGATTTACATGAATTCTTAGAACAATCTAAAATTACAATTTATACATTATATTACAACGAGGGTAAAGAATTGAAGAAACGTGTCGACAAACTCCATACTTTTCAGCAAATCAACATTAAATTTTCATTTATTTACCATTTTAATTAATGAAAAAATTAATTGCATCTTAATAAAATATATCTTTTAATATAATATATCATTCGTTTTTATATAAAAAATATTTTAAATGTAAGTTGAATTGAATAAATAAATAATTTTATCAAGCAAACATTGATTTACATTTAGTCCATTAACTATAATTAAGATTTGATAAAGCCTTTACGGGCTGTACAGTCTAACTATAAGAACTTGTATTACAATTTTAGCGAGTACACGGACTGGTCTTACCTTTGCTAAAGACAATTTCTGTTATTTTCTTTATAAAATTCTATTTTGAACAAAAGTAGTTATTTATTAGCAATCAATTTTATGATACTATTCAATATAATCTTGCAATAATATACCTAAGATTTTTCATAGAGGGCTTAAAAATGTCTTATTTTTAGTTAATTTTTCACTAAAATGTAGGTGACCAATATAGAAGGCTTAGCCCTTTAAGTCTCCTGTATATGCCACAGCAGCATTAATATTCAATACTTCGATATGATATCAATATATTAAGTATGCTCTAAAATTAAGGCTAAATATCAAGCACAGATAAAATGAAATTTTTGAGGTAGCAAAATATATTTTTCTACACTTTAAAAAATTTTTTAATCTAAGAATTAACTTAATTTTCCAGTTTTTTGATTAACTATTTCGTCAGTTATTGAGTTAATATCATTCGGTTCCCCTAGATGCATCATTTATATATATCAGATAAATTTACCTTTTTAAAAAGTAACTGAAATTGAATTCCTAATGAAAATTTTAAAAACGTTGGCGTGTAAAATTTTTTGATGACAAACAACATTTTTTTATGAAAGACATGAAAATTTAATAGATATTAAATTTGTTGTGTTAGCTAGAATTGATTTTCCTGTGTTTGTTAAATATACACATACCATTTTAACGGGTGAACACATCTGAATAATACTTTTTTTAGGCAACTACGAAATAGTATTATGAGTAACCCACTTAATAAGTAGTTTGTATTAAAATTTACCTATTTCTAACTTTCTAATACAATGAAAAGCGTCCTTTCGGTTTATCTTATTTTTTTAATTTACATTATCATAAAATACATGTTTGGCCTTGTTAGAATATCTAATTTTGTTATATAACAATAACTATAGTGATCAGATAGTTTAACTATTTCTTAGTTGAGTTAGTGAAAAAATAAGAATACCTAACAACTTTTACTTCTGTCAAACGTATTACTACAATACGATTTTCCTATACTATTTGGCGTCCTATAGTAATTTATAAGCCATTCGTTCCAAGGTCTCTTGTCTAGCCACGCGTAGGTCAAGTTAGTTATCTAATAGAATCAACACGCAAACTTTCCAAATACTATTATGTCTGGACCATCATCGTCTGGTAAACAACGCCCGTTTCATAATAATCCTTGTTACAAATAATATATCTAATTTAAATATAACATACCATTTTATGGTTCTAAATGATTTTCATCGACGCGCAATATTTTACACTGCATTATACTCCGACTAAATATGATAAACACGATGTTATTAAATCTTTTTAAAGTAGGACGTGTAAACATATTATTCTTTAAATAACAAAATTGAGTTTTTTGAAACAAACAAGGAATTGAGAATTTCAGTTACGAAATGAAATACGTATCGCCAACTATAAACCTTGTTTGTCTGATCATTTGTAATTTATCCAACAATAAAAAGTGGTCAAATGGTTTGGCATCATTCCGTTGCACCACTCTGTGCATATGTCTCACATCTTTTGTGTATTTTACCGTCATCGACCTTTATGTGATCAAAAATCTGCGACTCCTTTCTCGTCGTCATAGTTTAATATTCATAGTCAAATATTATTATTATATATCGTCCGGGAGGTCGACGAAGAAAACATACTCCAAGCAAAAAATGAAGAAAAAAAAAATAGGGTAAAAAGAAAAACGAGGATAAGATGACAGGACGTGGAGGAGGACGGCGTCCTCGGAGAAAAAAAAGGGAAAATACAATAAATGTACAAGGGCGAAAAAAAAATATATATAATAATAAAAAGTCTGCGGAGGGGTGAACACTAAAGGAAAGGGGGAGACGTTATGTACCCCTGCGCCTCGTACGATGTTTCCATTTTCCTTTTCCTTCCCTCTCACCCCGCCAATCCTCTTTTATTCAATACACACTACCGCCGCCGTCGTCGATCGTCTGCCCGCCACCGCATCCTACTCATACTGCACTACCCCGACATCGTCGCGACGATGCCCACCCCGTTCCTTTTCTTTGCCCCGAGTTTTTTTCTTTTTGTCTTGCATGTATCTCATGTGTGTGTGTGTGTGTGCGCTACGGACGATTTTTTTCCCCTTCTCAGTTTTCCGGCATCGTTCGTTGTGTACGGTTTTCCCGTGCGCGGTTATATTTCCACATACAAATACATACACAACAAATTTCACGTTTACGTATATGGTCGTTTTTAAGTTAAACGTCGGGTAGTTATTGCGTCTGGCCAATTAATGACGGCGCAACAAGACGACGACGAGGAGGAACGTTCGCAGTCACCCCCGCCGACGACGGTAGTGGTGGCGTCCTCGTCGTCATTACAGTCTAATCATACACCTGTCGTGGCGGCCATAGAAGACGACGATAACGAAGACAATAACATCACACCATCGGGTCCAGCGACGACAGCAGCGGCTGTGGCAGCAGCTGTTAAGCTGCGCCCGGCCGAATCGCTAATGCTCAGTCCGTCGTTGTACTATAAACGACTGTTGGCCGCCAATGTGGCCGCTACGTTTGGTAAAGCGGTTAAAGCGCATCACCAGCACGCCACTGTTCATCAATTGCAACATCATCAAACGTTACACCAACAGCCACATCAATTACACGGTCACCATTCAACGGCTGATACGGATTCTGATACATCGGGTGACGTTGATGACGATGACGTCGAGGATGACGATAGTACCACTGGTCCTCCTCCGATAGCTAATAAAATTAACCATGAGGTGATACACAAACAATCGAATTTCTAAAATCAATAGCTGTAGTTTAGTCACGTGTTCTAACTATTAACGTATACCGATAAGTATTCTTGCAGTATATTTTAAATGGCCAAGAGCTATTTGACTTTGATAAAACAATTGAAATATTATGGATACTTATAATTTAAAAAACAGTTAAAATCACTAACAAAATCCATAGTAAATTATCTATATTTTGTAACTCAAAAGCAAAACTCACAAACATTGTGAAATTTATAATTGATAAAAATCAACTTAGTGAATTAAAATCTAATCATTCTTTAGACTCGATGAGGAAGTATGACAATAGTCACATGATAAACACATAAATTTATCCACTCGGAATGGGTAAGGAAAAATTGTGTTATTGGTATATCCTCAAAAGTCCGTCTAAGCTACATCTCTATAACAAAAGTATAGAAATTTATCATCTTTAATCAAGATGTATCTTGACTAGACAACTAATTTAACTAAAACTACAGTAATCAATTTTTACGAGTATATAAAAAAATTAAGTTTTCGCTTCAAAAATATTTATGTCCAAGTAGCAAACTCAAAGAATTTTATTTAATACATAGAAAACAAGTTTAATAATAGTATTTATTACTTAATATTAATTTTTTAATACATTTTATTTTACTCCTTGCAATTTATAATATATCAATATGTAAACTTTTTATAAATTTTATGGTGGACTACTAAAGAAAAAAAATCTATTATGTTACGAATAAAGCATATATTATAATTATATATACTGGTAATAATTAATATATAGTTATTTAACTCATTAATTATTAATCAGTGAATCACGATTTTATAAGTATGTTGTTTTTTCTATGGAAAATTTATATTATTCATGGAAACAATTTAGTTCCAAATCATAAAGATGTATCAACAAAATTAAATCAAGTACATAAAATAATTAATATTCTGTAATAATATAATTTAAATAATAAAAAAAATGTAAAATTATACACCTTACAATTTTTAAAAGGAATATATTGAGGTACTAGTCTTAATTTTTTTTCTAAAATTCTTTAAAAACAATGAAATTTCATCCCACTAGATTTAGAACTGTTAAAAAAAAGCTTAACAAATATTGTTTTCAGGCCACTAAAATTTATAGAAAGATAAGGGAGATTAGTTCTCCTCAAAAAAATTACATAAACTATAATTAAAAACATTCTAGAATGTGGTAAAAATTAATCATTTTTAGTTAGTGTGTGCAGTTCGAAACCATCAAACACATCGTGAGATATGCCCTTAAAAAAGTATGAAGGAGAGATAGTAGGGCTCCACAAAGGAGGCAGGGAAGCAAAAGATTGTCCAAGTGGCCTAGAGATTCGCCTATAGAGCTAGAGACGTGCGTCGCAGTCACACGTTAATTATAATAAAGCAAATAACGAATTAAATAACAACTTTAGGATTTGTACTTGAGAAGTTATGACGACTTTTAAATAGAATCTAAGTGCGGGTATAGTTATTTATATCACTGGACATTTGTGGACCGTCCTTTTATCTTCGCCAACGTATAAAAATGATAATAACTTCCATAGTACTGTGGTCCAAAAGTTGATATCGATCATTCATTTTCTTAATTATATTGTTTCTTATTTAATAAGTCAGTTGAAAATATATGTTACTATTTAAAAAAAAACTTTGACGCCCTTATAAGTTATAAAGGACGACGTAGAAAGGTAATTAATAACTGATAAATCAAGAAGTATATGTGACTAATTTTTTTTTTCAATATTGTAATTATTTCGTGAGTAATGGAATAGAATATAATAAATTGATCACCTGTATTAAACTCAAGCCAAGTGTACATATGATATGCGTGANTAATTATTTCGTGAGTAATGGAATAGAATATAATAAATTGATCACCTGTATTAAACTCAAGCCAAGTGTACATATGATATGCTTGAAAAAAAAAGCTTTCATAGTTAAATTTCATTTATATTTGTTTAGTAACACTTTAGATAGATACTTAGAACTCAAGCTATTTGCTACATGTATATGTATATGATATTTATAAAAGAATTATAAAAAAGTATCAAATTTTCAAGATTACTAACAACATCTTAGTGAAATATGGTGGATGATAATAAACGTTATGATTTGTATTCATTAGGTACTACTAAATAGTCATATGAATATTATTGGACCGATAATTTATATTTGAAAAACTAATTTTTTATTTAATTTTACATAAATTATTTGTGATTGTTCCTAGTACAAACAGTTTTAAAAATTAAAACCATATAAATGTATGAACAAAAATAGATAGAGTTGAGTATATTACAAATTTTTCAATAATTTTTAAGTTAACATGTATATTTTAATTCTACTTAAATTCTATGTGCTTAACCTGACACTATTTTTTTTTAAATATTTCTTACAAATATTGCGTTAAAAAAAAAAAAAATTAATGCAAAAACTGCTTTCTTTTTAATACTCGATATTTTTTGATTAACTGATTCGCTATTTTAATATAATGGTTATTGACCCATTGATTGTTAAATCTAATTTTTACTTCATACGATAGCTAAAATTAATTTTAGGTTAAGGTTTTTTAAACGAAAAACTTACTACAATCATATATTTTTATTAAAAAAACATTAAATGTGCTTACATAATATTTTAATTAGACATGCATATGTACAATGTTATGTATACATACATAGTAATTTTTATAATTTCTAATCTTATGTAAATAATTAATAAGTTAACTATTGGCAAATGTTCCATTTATAAAAACTTCCGTCTGTTTGGCTCAACGCCATATTATTAGTGACGTTCAAAACACTTGATCGTCTGAATTTTAGACGCATCATACGAATAATATATTTTCATTTTGAGTCATGTAATGCAGTAATGTAAATTATTTTGAAAATAATAAATGTAATTTACATATCGTTTATACTTTCTTAGTGAAAAATTATGTTAGCAAAATTGATGAAAATCAGTGATTTATTAATTTACACTGTCAACCAGCTAGTTATACGTAAATAAGTGCGATTGCATATTATAAAACTTCATATTTCTGGGTTATTTTTAATAAATTTCAATATAAGGTAGCTTATACTTTTGTATAGAATATCGATCAAAGAAGATTTAGTACTTTAAATATAAATAAAATATATTTTGTAATGTTTAACACAGTGGTTAGAGAAATATAAAATTAAAAATGGTAACTACTAGTTTTAACACTAGACTATTATTAGGTTACATTTAAAAAATTAATTAATTAATTAAATTAAATAAAAATTACCACAAAAATTCATGCAAACCCAAAGTATATAAAAAATGTAAAATTCAAAATAAAATAATATTGCTAATATACAAATATTAAATGACTAGACAGATATGGTAGAACTGTTGATATCGAGAATGATAAGAGTGTTATCATTGTTGATGCTAAATTGATTAGTAATGTTTTTAAAATTTGTCTATTTACAGTGTATTGTAATTGTATTTTTTGACTTAAGAATTTTTAAATATCCAAGGATTGAACATTTACATACTATTATTATTGTTTAAAATTATTAGTTTGTTTTCTATTTTAATGTTTACAATGTGACAACAATTAAGTAAATGTATAAGAAAGTTTGATCTAGGCTAAGTTTTTTTTATCTTATTTCGACTATATGTTTTATGTTTTGATTCTTAAAGTTTCTATTAGTTTTACGGATATAAAATTCCTCACAACTGCATTGTAGTTTAAATATGACCAATTCATTGTGATTTGTTTATATTGAATTGTTCAATGAATTTTATTGTTAATAGTGATGGCTAGATAAGTGTTATAAGAGATATATTTATTAATTTTAAATTATATTCCATTGTCTTTAGTTTTTTCAAATTAATTTTTAATAATGGAACTTAAAAGTTTCAATAGAATATTACAGATTGATATAAACCTTACCAAAAATGATAAATTTTGATTTATGCGCTATTAATTTAGGCAATACGAAATTTTCTTAAAATTTATTACAATAATTTAAAAATAATTGTTTTTGTTTACATTATAATTTGTACACATTTCTGTAGCAGTGTGTGCAAATATATACATGTAATTAATATATACAGTGTGATTTATTAAGTATACCCATACTAAGTACTACACCCATTTATCGTAAAATAATAATTTGTTTATAAAAATATACAAATCAAATTTGGTTTATTTTTATAACGAGTATAAATATGAAGTTTATCGTAAGAAAAAATTATTTCTGGGGGTAGATTTTAGAAGTAATTTTAGAAAATTAAATGGGAACTTATTATTGTTTTTTACTATTAAATGGAGAATGATCTAAAAAATATGTTGAATGTTTGATAACCAGTTTTGTATAATTATTTTTTGGAGATTTAAAAAATGTTAGGTGCAATTTTTAGTGACGCTCTATTTTTACCATAACGCACAGATAATAATTTTACGTTGCACACTCCACTATTTTGTCATTCATTAATGCTATTTTAATTTATTTCATTCTCCTAATTACATAATTTACAAAATTGTATAAATTATAATTTTTCATTTAATAATAAAGCTTTTTGAATATTAATACAAAAAACAGTTATATAAAGCTGGCATTTATTTATAATATTTACAAATATATCCATTTTTTCATGAAGAAATTGATATATCTGTTAATAATCTTTATAATACAACAGTACTTGAAATTTTAACACATTAATAAAACTTGCATTTTCATCAAAAGTCTAACATTATATATATTAGTTCAATTAGTTTTATACTTTGTATAAGAGTATAAATATTACAACACTATGCAATTAAACTTAATTCATCGATAAATTATAAAGTTTAAAGATTTAGTATTCTTTGAAAACAAAAAAATGATCTTAAAATTTTTAAATTTAGAACTATTGTAGTTTTTAATTGTTCTAAAGTGCATTAACAAATCTATATTTGTCCTCATATAATCGACGGTATTTTTTTTAACTAAAAGAAAATTTTAATTATTTTTTGATGGTAAATCAAAATAAAAAATAATATTCTATATTCTTAGCCATCACTTTTTTTTATCAACCCGAAGGCTGGTTTACAACTCCAATTGTCCATTCTAATCGGTTAGTCGCCTTTTCTTTAAGTTCCTTGAAAGTTTTGGCTCTTGCATCACATTTAATTTGTCCTACATAAGAATCATCACTTAAATATCTAATTTTAATGACAAAATAACTTTTATTATATGTAAAGCAATTTGTTGCGAATTTTAATATACGAATCATTACCTTATTATAAAAATGTAACACTTATGGACTTGACATTTGTTCTTAAAAATAAATGGCAAATGATTAATTGATTAATTGGCTGCTTGAGGAATGGGATAGTGCTAAAAATTAGCATAAAAACGTATGTTTAATTAACTGGGAAACTGTTTACGGGGATCTATTTACAATTTCAGTAAGAAAATGTCAGCTTTTTGTTGCAACATTTGCCTTCCGTGTACGTATGTCGATAACATGACCGTTTAAAGTTTCGTATATGTTTAGCGACTGATTACACGATCGACCGAAAGTATAATGCGCAAACTGGGTCAAAGTCCTTCATGTCAGACCTCATGGCGCTAAAAACTTTTTTTTCGAAGTCTTGTGTATTACCATCGCATACCTCTAAATATTGACCTTGTTAATATTATGACAACAATTATTTTATCTTCATCAGGATACATGATTCCTAACTTAAACAAAACAAACTAACACTAAAAAAGTACTTATTTTAATTTTTTTTGTGAAGGAAGCAACAGTTGTTTTATATGTCCCAATTTTCAATTTAAAAATACACAGCATAGTAAGAGCAAGTACAAAGTGTTATTAATAAAGTAATATTTATAAAATCATCAATGATCCAATTAAGAAAATTACTGATCTATAACAACTTTTGAAATAGTACTACGAAAGTTATCTACATTATTAAATATAAAATGGAGGAAGAGTGCGACAAATTAATGCGATGAAAATAACATAACCTACACGTTACCTCCACTCTAAATTTTAAAATACTTGTAACTTCAAAAATAATAAGTCAACAGTTGTTGTCGGCCAGTCATTTTCGCCATTAGATCATTTTTTATTTTATAAACTAGTTAAATATGTATATTGTCATTTAAAAAAATGAAGTTGACAACCTTATATGGTATCGAAGACGAACTAAAAAAATACTTAATAAATCAAGAAATATATAAAACTAAAAAGGACCAAAAAGAATTTTCTTAAAATTATTATTATTAGGGAAATTTTAGTGACTAATATTAAAATAATCACTCTGTATAAATAATTATTGAAAGTGATAAGTATAGTTCACTTTAAATCTTTAATTTGGTATAGGTTTTAAGAATTCAGACGTTTCAGAACATTATCAAACATTGAAGTGAAAAAACAATTGCGTAGGTGGTTCGTTAAAACACTTCCTGTGTTATATTTTTTTAATTTCATTTTCATGAATAGCATACCAAAATAAAATTTTTTTTCTTTAATATATTATATTAAAATTTGAAATTTTTACTAAAAGTTATTCTTTTGGCACATTAATAATCAAAATCAGCCCAATGAGAGCCAACTATTTATATGGGTAGACAAAAAAAAACACATCATTGTAAAATCAATACATTCTCAGTTTCGCATCGAAGCTAAAATTACTTTATGACTGTGTTTGATTTCTATTATATTTAATATCATAATAGGATTCATTCAGGTATAGTACGTGTTTTAGTCAAATGAGTTCAACGTAAAAGTTTTTCTAAATATTTTTGTTTTCTATAAAATGAAAACACTATAAAAGTATAGACAATCCTTTAACTTGTACAATAATTATAAACATATTATTAAATATTTCTGTATGTTCGGCAACGTAATAATTATTTAAATATACAATTGTTTTGGACTATTGCATCGGGACTCCATAAAAACAATATGATTATAGTTTAATCTGTCAAATTTAGTTGATATTATTGTATACGCACACCAACTATGCTAACTCGACGTTTCATAGTGTACACGTGCAGACAATAAAAGCTATTCTGTTTTGTGCACATAAGCCCGTGTGTTTGTTCGCAGCAAACGCGCGTGCATGTCCGTTTCTGATCTAACCGAAAACACGTGAACAATGAACCGCCGAGGCGTCAAAGCAATGCTATTGTAATAGGCCATGTCGTAGAAAATCTACAAGAATTCCATGCAAAACACAGAGAGCATCTACTATTTTATGTAATAATAGATTAATTTATTTGCTCTTTGATCGATTCCAAAGGCCTCGACTAGATCACAAACCAAGTTAATTTTATTGGTAAAGAGTGAAATGTATGTGTTTCGTATCTATAAATTAGATCTGGTAGATGTTAAGTAATAAACTTCATAAATGCGAACACTTCAATAACTAAATCGTATTCTGTTATATTGATGTTAAGTATGTTAATGTAAATGACAATAAAACTATTGTAAGGAATAAAAAAAATAATTAATTACGTCACGATTATTGTACTGATTTGAAATAACAAAAAAGTATTGAAATAGTGATTCATATTTTTAATTAATTTATTCGTTTAATTTAGTCATAAATCATAAAATGTTAACGAATCATGATGTAAGACAACTGTTTAGTAAACACAAAATTGCAGGCCGATAATTTGTGACCAATCATACTGACGCAATCTATGACACGATGTATTTTGTTGCATTACTTTGTTGGTCATTGAATATTTCTTAAAATATATTGCACTCAAAAACTCGTATTTTTTTTTAACCACCTTCATTATCCTCCTTGCTATACAACATTTTAAAATAACATATACATCCTCAAACTCAGAATTCATGATTTAATAAAAAAAAAAACGTATGCTAATATTATTTGCACTGAAAGATTATAAAAATTGAGTGAGTGTTTTAGTAGAAATGACATGTTTGAATTATTTTGTATCATATTGATGGGCCTACGAAGCGGTTAAAATGTTACAAAAACTGGTTGACAGGGTTGCAGAACATAATTAAAATTGGATTTGTTCCAACAACGTTACATAAGCGTACTACTCACAAATAAGAGAACTTCGAGTACTTTTCACCGTATTTTAAAGTAACTGTTTAATTTATGGCTCTATATTAAAACACACAATATCCATCTTTTGCTTGTTAACTATCATTATCGCTTGAAATAGATAGCTAAGATGAGCCAAAAATGCATCGATATTCGTATATTTATTCAGTTATTTAAATATCGTATTTTTTAATATGTCTTATCGACAAACGTGTGTTAAATTTATTCTTGACGAATTTAAATAATTAAAATTAATATAGATAGCATAATTTATACAATATAGATTCATATTATTTAAAAATATGAAAATCAACAGTGATTAGTTATACGTAAAAATAAATAAAATGTTGACAAATCTTTAATGTATATTTTGGTATTTTGATAGAAGGCGGCTTTTTTGTGGCCGCCGTCGGATCAACAAGCACAACAGCAGCAGCAGCAGCAGCAACAACAACAACAACAAAGTAATCTGTCCGTAACTGGACAAACAGCCATTTCTAGTCATAACAACAACAACAATAATAGCTTAATTAATGGTAACAAGTGCGGCAGTGGTGCTGGATCAGCTATCCACACGCAACACCTACAACAGCAAGGTGGCGCGGGATCAGGCAGTGCCGGCGGCACTGGACTGGTGCACTGGATGTCAATGATGGCCGAACATATGAATAATGCGGCAGCTACACATCACCATCATCACCATCCACATCACCACCATCACCCAGGAGATCCAGCCAACGCTATGCATTATATGTGGAACACGCCTGGAGTCGACATGGTGAGTTAATAAGTGTACTATTATATTATAATATAGAACAAAGTATATTATAAAAAGTGGCGGATTTATATACAAGCACTAAAGACACTTGCCTACAACGATAATTTTTTTAAGATGTATGATTGATGCTTAGCAGTAATTTTCCACGGGTCTACAAGCGATAAACATATAAATCGAGTTCTAAAATTGATTAACTACACCATACAATTAAAATAGTTCAATCTAATATCATCAAATTTTCTTCTTTAAAATCTGAAAATACTAAGTTTATTATAAGAAGTTATAAATTTATTATTTAATTGTTACAAGAGAGTTGTCTAATACAGTGTAGAAAATAATTTTAACAATTAAATTTACACAATATTAAATATTGAGTAAATTTATGTTAGCTACTTTACAAATCATCAGAATCCTAAAAATTAATAGTAGTGTTATAAGAAAGGTATATTCATATTGAAAGAAACTAAAAAAGTTATCAAGATTAAAGGTTTATTTTAAACTGTTAACAAAGTACACTTCTTAGTAATGATTTTTTTATGGAGATTTATTAAGACATTTTCTCGAAAATATTATATACATTTTACGAACACTATTATGACGTTATTCGTGCATTAAATTATTATAGTATAATCTGTTTTTTTATTTTTATGATTAGTAATATTCTTACCTAAATGTTATAATTCATTCAAACGTATAAAAAACTAATAAAAAAATTGAAAATTTAATATAATTTTAAGAGACATTTTATGAAAATAATTAAACGTATAAAGTCTTAAACATGTATAACAGAAATTTAACAAACTTCCGGGTTGAGAGAAGAACAAAATAAAAAACTTATTCGCATAATTCTTTAGGGCCGTTAAGACAAAAAAATACCCTGATCACATCTTAATTTCTATCCGTGAGATTCACCGTTCATAACGGAAAAAAAAGAAAAGACTGAAAAAAAATTCATCCCCAAACTCATACATACTATGAGTAATTACCAACCCCCGTGGAGACGATACCATGGTGTGTAAAAAAATAAAGACGAGTATTTAATATGCGAGAGATGTGACGGTATGTAGATATGCATGTATGGGGTTATAAGGCGATTTTTTTTTACTTTCCAGTCTCTTCTCCCCACTCGGATCCACCTTCTAAGCATAGAACAATAATATTAATAATCATAATGCGCGCTTTGTCGTTGTAGTTACCCCTCACCAAAGGGAATTTTTTTTAAACATTTCTAGATAGCAGTGGTCGTAAAAAATGAGATTTTCTTTCTAGTCCACTCGTCCGTATAGTCACGTAGCTCTGAACGCATATGTATATACATAAACACCGGGTGCAAAACGAATGTACATAAAAAATAATAATAATTTGAATAATGTGTGTAAAAAACAATGACGATGGGGTAGCGGCGACAACCGGTTGTGGGCCGCTAGAGGCTTATGTAAATGATTGCGATCCGGTATAGCACACAAGTGTGATGGGAAAGACTCGAGAGGGTTAACTATGCAAATTACTTGGTAAACAAAAGGATGCCTTTGCCGTGTGTGTATGTTTTTTTACTAATGGTCATAGACCATGGGAGAGAAATCTTTTTTTTTCGTTTGTCTTAACTCGTTCTATTGTACTTGTTGTACACACCTTGTGGCTCTTTTTTTTTACTCAACCAATCCCAAAAGAACAGGGGATGAATGTTATATAACCCATCGTTTTTTTTTTTGTCTTAGAGAATATAAGCAGTTCAATGCATAAATTTCGGATAATTTTTTTTTACATTTTTTTTTTTTAAATAAAAAAATGTCTCACCCAAGACCGTTATATAGACGATGTATAACTGTTTTTCATTTATATATTGAATAAACGTTGTATTGTTTAATAGTAGCTTCACTTTATGTTAAACTTGAAAAAATAATAATAACAGCAGTCGCAGCACACCGGTCGTACCGTGTCTAATGCAAGTCTGTTGGAATCTATCAAGTATAATCAATAATGATAATTATTGTAACATATCCGTAACTGATGTAAAAAATAATTAAATGAAAATGAAGAAAAGTCGTATATTATTTACTAATTGTTTTATTAAATGATGAAGCACGAGTTCCGTCGTTTCAACGCACAAATTTTGCCCTCTTAACATTAAAACGTTCCTAGAATACTTAATCGATTAATTTTGCTGATTTTTTTACTGAAAAATCGTCAATTTAGCGTAACTTATAATAAACGCATACTGTAAAATAGCAACAATTTTCGCTTACTTCGCATGACATGTTAGAGCGCCTAAGTTTCCTCAAAACGATGTTGCGGTGCCGGTGAACCCAATGCTGTGTTTTGTAATTAGATATCGTTACTGCTAATTTACACTAACGGTATACACTCAGCGAAATTAATTTCTATACATGTATATTTATTATAAGCTGACAATCACACGCACTACCTTCTTTCATAGATTGACAGCAATTTTAAATATAGTACATCGTATTAATGAAAATTACATTTTTCAAACGATACTGGTGTTGTATTCTTAGTAAATGTTTATTACTGTCCAGCGAAAATCAATAAACAACTATTAATAATATTAAGATTAAAAGGAAGCGCAGTATAATATTGTTGTGCATGTGATTCCATAAAAATTATGTTTATTTTATAACACGATCAACATAATTTTTTAATTGTTTCGAGTAAAATGTTTGATAGTTCAAAAATATTTAAATAGCTGAAGACTAAATTTCTTAAAAGAGCTTGTAATTTTGTAGAATTTTAAATGAAAACCAATGTCGTAGGAAAATTATACAATTGTTAAAAAAAAACATACCGACATAATTAAAGGTTGAATACAGCATTTTTTAAGTGAAATAAATCTAATAAAACAAAATGAAAACTGCATAAACGCATTTTTACTTCGTTTTTCGATAACTGCGATACAGTTGAAAGACTCGTCAATATTAGTCTACTTAATAACAAAAAAAGAAACCCTATGCACGAATAGTTATGACTTTAGGAGGCATTCTTAATTTCGGTAGTCGCCAAAGGTCTGTTTTACATTGCTACTAGTATTGTTGTTGTTGATTCACACTGCAATAACAACACAATATAATGTTGTACTAACCACACGAGCCCATTGACCGTCATCGTCGAATGTGCAGTGGTTTGAATTATGAATGAACCTATTGTGTACACAGAACTGAATATTACCCTCGATCAATTTGTAGGCCAATATTGCCGATGTAATAATGTAATGTCATACTGCAACGATATGTATGGGCACGGTAAGTAAATATATGTGCACTACAATCGGCGGGTCTGTCATTGTGCACACCGTGACGACGGCATTTACAACATGATTACAACCAAAGAACGAGGAGGAAAGGCGGATTCTTATTATTTTATCAGAAAATAAAAACCCAAAAATACCACCCCAGCGTATACAATAATGATGTGTAATTCGTATTACCTCGTTAAAAGCCGCCACCCTGCCGAGTGGTCTCTCTTCTACAGACGTGCGATATTTGGTCCTGAAATACAAACAATGACCACTACGAATTGCGCTTACGTTCTATAGGTCCGAATCTATTTTGTTTTTTACTTCCTTTCCGGTGTACTGAACAGCCCGCTGTGATCTTGTCGACGAGCTAACACGGAATGTTGTAGTCTCGTGTGTTTTTTTATTTTGGTTCGGCGGTTGATTTCCAGAAAGGTCTCTACTCATTGGACTAGCGTTTAGTAAAAATGCGTTTAAAAAAAAATTGTGTAGCATAATAGGGAAAAAAATACATACGATACAATTGCAACATGTTTTTTGGGACTAGTACAAAAAAAACCTCTCCCTTTTAAAACGATTCTCGATGTTTTTCGTTTAATTTGAATCGTTTGGTAACTTAAAATTTGCATAAAACCGTATAGATGAAATTTCTCTATTAATTTAACATATTAAAACATTTTTTTTTATATAATTAATATATAAATGAATAATTATGCTTTTTAATAATGTATTTTTCTAAATAAAGTGGACATTTAAGAAATAAATTGAAAAAAAATAAATATGTCATATTTATCATGAAAAAATGTTTACTAGTACATTGAAAACCACACGATTTTTTACTTACCAAATTAAATGTATTGGTGTTAGCTATTGATGAAATATAATTTTACAGTATATAAATACAAAAAAAAGCATATAAAATTCATATTTCTGTATATACAGGCGTAACAAATAAAAAATAGTAGTTCTTCGGCGGTACAAAACATAATTAGTCGTAAAACTAGTAGTAAATTACCAAATAACATCAATGGTATATAAATAAAAATAAATGATGGAATAGTGTGTACACGTCAAGTGTATTATGATTTTGAAACATATTTATAGTATATTTTATGTATAACGAAGATCATTCTATTGTCTATTTATTCTATAATATACTTTTAACTGTTTGGCAAATCAAGCAGTATAATTACACAATAATTAAATTTCCCACTTATTATAAGAATCATACGTATTAGAAACACTTTACCTAAACGTAAACGTTATTATGTCACATGATAATCGATTACAGTAATTAAGTAACGTTGGCACATTTTATTTGACGAATCGTGTCATCGATACACGTCACATTAGCAGTGATCGGGTTACTATAATATCAAAGGGAAGAAAGGAAAATAAAGGGTATAAACCATTCGTGGGGGTAATATTTCTTATTTATATAAATCGATTGATTAGAATATCAAAATATAACCGCAGGGTGCGAAAATTTCTTAGGACGGTATCTATTATTATATTGTTGTGTATAGTACACATATACGTGATGTGAAGATCGGTGCATATATTTATGCGGCTTGTACTGAGCATGCAAATATTGATGGTAAATATTGAGTGCTATTAATATTGTCATTGAAAACGAGATTTCGGGTTCCCACAATGTCGACAACGACTCGGACGACCTTCTCTCTGTTTTGCATTAAAATGGCTTAAGAAAACAACGGACGGGATTATTAATTCGGGTCATGTGTACGTA